AATAAATAAGGTTGTAGAAGGTAATGCAGAGTGACGAAAAAAATGCAATTCATAATTTCAGAAAACTAACATTATTTAACGTAAATCACATGTTTCCAATGAAATTGAATAAAATTTTCTGTTAAATAAAAGTTTGAAAAAAGTATTAAAAATAAACCGAATCATGCCAATGTCATTGTTTAAAATACTATTTCATTTTACTTCTGTGAAAGAAGAAATAAAATATAAAAATATTTCATGGATATATTTATAACCTTAAATACTTTTGCTGTAGTTTAATAACTCTAGATATGATATTATATTTAAATAATTAGGTATCTATTGGCCGTTTACCTCAAAAAATCATCAAGTAACCTTTTAGGAAATTAAATTAGTGAATAATTTGATGAATTTTTGCTTTGTAAAATCCCAACATTATCCACTTACAATTACTGGGACAACTTTTGGCCTATCCATGACAAGCAATGAAAATCTCGTAATTTCATTTTAGTAAACTTTACAATGGAAAATAACAAATTAATAACTAATAGTCCTACAATCTATAATTATTTATAGGTAAAATATTCAGATGTACTTCCAAATCTCTCTAGACATATATGAAACCTTTCGATTGTCAGAATGACTTACTCCAACTTCAATATTCTTTATTATTAATTTTAGGGATGTTTCTAGTGGCAAAATGTATACCTTTATCCACAGTTTTATATTTCAACATTGCAATCACCTACTCTGGAATCAACTTGCTCACTGTCTGTATAGAAATAACTTTTCCAACTAGAAATATCACTCAAATGATATTACTCAAAAATATTGAAATTGGAGTTAGTCATTCTGGCAACTGAAAGGCTCAGAGACTGAAGTTATGTGCTTTATAAAATTAGATTTTTATTGCCTACCGTCGATACAGTAAATAAACTTTTTGTAATTTTAAAGGTCTTAACGATTTGTTATCTGTAAGCTTTAAGCTTTAGCTCCGTTTAAAATGCACTTTCTTTTTTTTTTTTTTTTTATTAAAGAAATTTATAACTGTAATTAATAATAAATACAATAAGTAAATATGAACAAGTAACATGACAAGTACAACATGAAGAGAAACTACCCATCGGTAGCACTCCAATTCTATTTCTATATTAGAAGGTCCCGAGGCCATCTTCTTTTCAGGAGCCTCAGAGGGTTATCAGGAATAGAAGAGGAAGCAAGATTGGAAACGAGAGGGTTCGGACGGTTCGGAACTTTATTATGAAAGGACAGGTATCTGGATTGAACTAAATCGGAAACATATGGTACATTAAGGTCATTATACACGGTGGGCCAGACCCCCTTAGCGTGCACCCCCCCCCCCCACATCCCTATAAATTGCATATCGTTGTGTTCCTTGTGACAATTTATTAAAAAAAAGCCAATGTTCCCACAAAAAAAAGTGAACGAACTGCCCCAAAATGGCGTCCAAACATGGCGGATTGACGACTTTGACTTTAGTTAGTTTTTTTGTTACTGAGAATCAGCATTTGGCTTAATTTCATCATAGTTGGTCTTTTATTAAAGCTAGATAGTCAGAGAATAATAAAACATGAAAAAATATTAAAAATTAATTGGCTTAGGCATTAAAACAAATCGGTAAAGTCAATTTTTTTTACAAAAAAATTTTCAAGTTGAAAATCAGGCGTCGTTTGTAATTAAACGGTCAACAATAATGCAAAACAAGCTTAAATAAAACATCTGGAGAATACATTTCTCTTTCTAAAACACTGATTACTTTTTAAAATATTTGAAGTAGTTTCGTATAAAATGTACATAAGCGGCAGAAAAGCGCTACTGGCGTAGGTGCCTTCAGGCCTCTACCACACCACTCAGTACTCATAATGGCTTAGTTATAGTGCTATAATAACGTTTTTGTTATATTATATTGATTGTATTAACGAATAAATATTAATACAATAATTTAATTGTCAAAAAAATTTGTTTTTAAATTTATTATTTTTTAAAATTTATTATCATTCATTTTTTTTAATTTAACTTCCTTTATTCTATACGGAGGTCGCTTAAGAAGGCCTCTATTATAAAAATTATATAATTATAATAATAAAACTTAATTCAAAAATACTTTGCAGAATATCTTGAATTTTTTATTTAATATTTGCAATTTAACATTTTGTTTTATATATTTACTGATTCTTAGAGGTAATTTAAATTGTATATACTTCCCCGGAAATGAGTCATATTAATATCTGTTTTATAAAATAAAATAATATATACCTAATAAGAACTACTTTTAATGAATAGGTGATGGATTGTTTAGTAAAATTCATATATCGCTATTAAAAAAATCATTTTTATTTCCTTTATTTTTTTCGGAAGTTGGACCATATCACAAAAAATACGAAATTTTAATATTAAATGCATTATTCTCTCTGCACAGAACAAATCTTTCTTGCTGATAAAGTGGTCTTCACCATAATAAACCTGCTTAATATCATCCAAACTCATCAAGCATTTTGACTCTCTTTTAGCAGCATCTTGAAATATTCTGTTCATCTGTCTACTATATATTGGATTATATATTATACCATATAATGGATACTGATCCTTGTTTTCTTTTCCGAAATTTTGGCACTTCCTTTGTCGTTCGCTTAATGTATTTTTCCAATGTTTGGGTTCAGTTTCGAGTTTTCCCTCATTTTGAGAACAAATACTAACAATCAGTTCCAATTACCTATGCGAACTTATAGCTTCGCCCTTCCTATATTTCTTTTGTGCAGAGAGAATAATGCATTTAATATTAAAATATCGTATTTTTTGTGATATGGTCCAACGTCCGAAAAAAATAAAGGAAATAAAAATGATTTTTTTAATAGCGATATATGAATTTTACTAAACAATCCATCACCTATTCATTAAAAGTAGTTCTTATTAGGTATATATTATTTTATTTTATAAAACAGATATTAATATGACTCATTTCCGGGGAAGTATATACAATTTAAATTACCTCTAAGAATCAGTAAATATATAAAACAAAATGTTAAATTGCAAATATTAAATAAAAAATTCAAGATATTCTGCAAAGTATTTTTGAATTAAGTTTTATTATTATAATTATATAATTTTTATAATAGAGGCCTTCTTAAGCGACCTCCGTATAGAATAAAGGAAGTTAAATTAAAAAAAATGAATGATAATAAATTTTTAAAAAATAATAAATTTAAAAACAAATTTTTTTTGACAATTAAATTATTGTATTAATATTTATTCGTTAATACAATCAATATAATATAACAAAAACGTTATTATAGCACTATAACTAAGCCATTATGAGTACTGAGTGGTGTGGTAGAGGCCTGAAGGCACCTACGCCAGTAGCGCTTTTCTGCCGCTTATGTATATTTTATACGAAACTATTTCAAATATTTTAAAAAGTAATCAGTGTTTTAGAAAGAAAAATGTATTCTCCAGATGTTTTATTTAAGCTTGTTTTGCATTATTGTTGACCGTTTAATTACAAACGACGCCTGATTTTAAACTTGAAAATTTTTTTGTAAAAAAAATTGACTTTACCGATTTGTTTTAATGCCTAAGCCAATTAATTTTTAATATTTTTTCATGTTTTATTATTCTCTGACTATCTACCTTTAATAAAAGACCAACTATGATGAAATTAAGCCAAATGCTGATTCTCAGTAACAAAAAAACTAACTAAAGTCATAGTCGTCAATCCGCCATGTTTGGACGCCATTTTGGGGCAGTTCGTTCACTTATTTTTGTGGGAACATTGGCTTTTTTTTAATAAATTGTCACAAGGAACACAACGATATGCAATTTATAGGGATGTGGGGGGGGGGGTGCACGCTAAGGGGGTCTGGCCCATAGACTATTATGGATGATTTTATTAGTGACAAAGTAGGGAGCATTAAGGATTTTATGAAGGATTTTGGATTGTAGGGATTGGATACGAGAGGAATTTGATGGTTTAGTAGAGCCCCAAAGCTCGAAAAATGCACTTAAACAGTTTCATAATAGCCCAACATTGCCAGAAAATAATTTCTATTCAAAGTACAGAGATAAGTGAAAGTTGTGTGTTGCCCGCACCAGATTTTTTTAGTTGTTGACCTTTTTTTTTTTCTTAAAAAAATATGAAGTCGATAAATAATCGGAATTTTTATTTTAAATTTGTTTTATTCAGCTTGCTGATGTTTCGACACAAGCACAAGTGTCTTCAGGACAATGGTCACTGTCATCTATCGTCAAGGAATGAATATAGTTGTGATGTAGTAAATTGATTTCCAATAATTCTCCCTTAAACTTTTTTTAAATTTCTTTTAAATCCTGCAACACTAAATGTTCAATTCTTATAGTGACCAAAACTATCCCTCTATAATAAGATGAAAATAAATTGTTAAAAACAGCTACTTAACTTTTTTAAATTAATTTAATTAAATTTTTAAAAAATTGTTTTCACCTTAAAAAACCCAATCTGGCAACCCTGAGCGGACCCAGCGTGGTCCGTCGGGATTGACATTCTCAAGATTGTAAAGAATCACTTCAATCATAATGGTCCAAACAAGTATCAGTCAGACTGACACAATTTTAATTGTATTGACGTTGAGACACCAAGCAGTGTGGATCTGGCATAAGTCTGTATATGTAGTAATGTGAGTGACAGAAAAAAATCTTGTTTTTCCATGATCCTTTACATCATTAAAGTCTATATTAATTTAAAATATTTATGTAATTATAATATGAATATATTAATCATCATTTTATATCTATCAACATAATATTTACATTTACCTGTGGACATCTGGTACACGAAACTATTAATTTTTATCTAATATAAGAAGTAGAAAGTAATGAGAGAAAGAGGTGATTAAATTTGATTTAGCTCTACTGATCACTTCTTTATAATTTTTGTTTTTTTAATTTCTTCTAGGAACTAGGTTGACTTTCATAAAAATATGTTGAGACTGTTGCTGGAGGCCAACAAAAAAAAACTACGCTACATTAAATATACGTTAATTTTATTTGTACACTTTAAAATTGATTGAAATAAATTATTGATTTTACTCCCGGTTTTCAACTAAAGGCAGCAGATTGCTTGTGTTCCAATCAGAAATATATCTTGCTCAGTCATAAACTGCTTTCATGATGTCTTCTTTATATAACGAGGTAGTTCTAAAAAAAAATATTTTTACTTATTAATTAATTAGAAATGTTATATAAATAAACATAGTTCCAAATATGTCTATATTCAGGCAATTCCTGTGTCGATTTAGAATATCTATTAGGAATGTCGAAAACACATTTCGAAAAAATAGATAGATTTTATGGTGACAATTAATGAAATTTTAAAATTAATTAATACATTAATATAACTGTGAAATTAATTAAACTAGTGTTCCCCCAGTCGTCGAAATTTGACCATAATCATTATTGGAAATTGGCAGAAAACCCATTTTAATTTGCATGTTTCCAATTTTTTTTCTACTCTTACACATTCGTACATGCACTTTTATATGTAAGCAATACAAAACAGTTCTATATCATTTTTCTTACCATCCAGTGAGGAACTTTTGGAGAGTAGCTGTTTGAAAAACAAACATTTATATATTTATTTATATTCACTGTTTCAAAAAAATATATATATGTATGTATGTATATATATATATATATATATATATATATATATATATATATATATACTTTTTTTTTTTTTATATAGCAGTAAAGCTAATCAATAGCTAATATACAAAAAAATAAAATCGATTGAGAAACAGAAGAGGGAAAGTTAATGAACTCTTTTATCTTAACCTATTTATGTAATGATTAATTTTCAAACCAGAATCCAAGAAGATAATTCTGAAAAGAAGTATGAAACAAAACCACAAAATGTTGCAGATGCCAATATTCCCATATACTCACGTCCACACGGAATTTTATTATTATTATTTTAATTTTAAATTCATTTGTGCCAATAGATCATGACTGGAACTAACAATATGTAAAATTGTTGGCACTGGGGAAAGCTAAGCTTATTATTATTCTTAAAGAAACAGATCTTCAACAGTATTTAAATAGTTATCAAATAAATGTCATAACATTGACTTATTTTATTAACTTAATAAAGAGCGAAATAATTAAAAAGCAGAAACAGAAGTTATTTACTTATACTATAATAAAATAGCACTCGATATTTGAAGCTGATGGTAAGTGCCCCAGTTGGCTCTCACTCTCCTAACTTCAATTCTGCTTTTGATGGAGAATAGTTTAAAAACTATTCTGTGATTTAATATCTTCTGTGACTGTCACATTTTGTATCTCTTATTATCTCAAACAGATATTTGTCATTACCTTGGGATCGGCATTGTACAAGCAAATGTTGAAGTTGAAGGCCAGTTCACAACCATCTGGACCAGCTGTAAAATAAAAATAAAATGATATTTTGATGATATAAATCTTATTAAAAATATTTTAAATCTAATCAACATCATACATCATTTGAATACAAAATCTTGGAGGACATGTAATAACTTCAGTAATTCATTTAATTAAATATAAACAATAATTTACTATATATATGAAACTTAAATATTCTCGTGCTAATATTATCCTAATCTAAGCACTAATCCTCGTTCGGATATTTTAGTTGTTATGTTGGAGAGTGTGATGTAGGAATGAACACCCTACCCGCATATCTTTAATTCATTATGCATCACCGCGAAACTGCATCAAGATCATAGAAGACGCCCACGCAAAGGTGAGAAGGAAACAAGTTTATTTTCGATCCTTTAAGAAGGTTTACCCGAGTATATAATGATAATAGAATCGGCTGATAAACTTTGCCATTTCAAAAGAATTGATAATTTAAAAGTACTACGTTCAAACATAAGGTTATTCTTAAATACAATTGGACATGACCCGAATCCCAAACGAAATCAAATCGATCATGCTCTGATACAACATAGGTGGCAAAATAGTATAATTAATGTAAGGTCTTACCATGAGACATAATGCTGGTCGGATCATGAACTAGCAATTGCGAGACTTGGACAAAAATTTTATATAAAAAAGAGAAAAGAAAACAGTTTCGAAAATTTTTATATGGAAAAATTGCAAAGTTCATCAATTAGAAATCAATTGAATTGAATTTTGAACTAGAAGTTAGGAATAAGTTCTTGATGATATATAGTAATAATAAGGTATAATATCAAAAAGATAACTCGTGTCTTGGGAAAAATTAAAATAAAAAGAACAAACCGTGGTTCCATGAAGATAGTTTAAACATTTGCGAAAAATAAATAAATAAGAAAATTAAAACAAAAAGAACAAACCATGGTTTCATGAAGATAGTTTAAACATTTGCGAAAAATAAATAAATAAGAAAATTAAAATAAAAAAAAACAAACCGTGGTTCCATGAAGATAGTTTAAACATTTGCGAAAAATAAATAAATAAGAAAATTAAAATCTTATAAAGCAGTGGGAACCAATAATATTCCTAGTGAACCAATTAAGGCATGCGGAGAACCTGGAGTTGCTGAAATGCATGTATTGGTTAAAAGGATCTGGGAGAATGAGAAACTGTCTCAAGAATGAAAATACTCTAACAAAAAAAGGGATCTACCTTGCAAAAGGTCGGGTAATTCAAACTAATTTGTCATATTGTTAAGTATGTAATGAATATGAACAATACAAGTTTCCGCCCTTGAAAGTCTTGTGGGTTAGCTGCAGTGCTCCAAAAATCATTGAAATTTCGAACTTTTTTTGGTTTACGCTACATATCTCCCTTTTAAAGCGAGATAGATAAAAAAATATTTAATCTTGAACAGCTTAACATTATTGTGCATAACATTTTTATCAAAACCCAACACGCGAGCAAACTATCGAGCTTTCAAAATGAGTAATGTTTTGAAAATTAGCAAAAAACAAGTATAATTCTTTGTTTTCGTAGGTTACTTAGTTCAATTTTTTAAATTAAATATTAAAGCACACACAATTTACTACAGTTTTTACAGGAAACACATGTTTCTAAAATTAACAACTTAAATACAAATCGTTAAAAAGCAATTGATAATTAGAAATTTGATAAAATCCGTATACTTTTTTAAAATTTTTTTTACTCTTTTCACTTATTTTAATGAAATAAATTACTTTTTTTATTGTTGTTTTTAATGCCACACCATTTAGTACTCATAAATGACAGTGCTATACAAGAATATAGGAAGTAAAAAGAAAAAAAAATTGTTTTAAACAGTTTAACTATTGTATTAAAATTTGTTCGTTAATCTAATCAAAATAATGTAATAAACACTTTATTATTTTATTATAAGGTTATTATGCCATTTATGAGTGCTGGATAACATAACAGAGCAGAGCGCCAATACCAATGCCGCTTTTCCGTCGATTAAGTGTATTTTCTAAGTAACTTATTCAAAAATTTTAATAAGTAATCAATGTTTTAGAATGGCAGGTGTATTCTTCACATGTTTTAATTTGGAGCGTTTTTCTTTAATTTTGGCTAATTATTTACAAACGACGCTTGATTTTTAACTTTAGTTTAAACGACTTGAAAAATTTAGTTCAAAGAAATTTTTACAGCACTGTATATAAAGATCGGATAAAGTTCATTGGAAGAGATTGGAGAAGTTTAGGGCGCAAAGCGACTTGAAAAATTTAGTTCAAAGACATTTTTACAGCAGTGTATATAAAGATCGGATAAAGTTCATTGGAAGAGATCGGATAAAGTTCATTGGAAGAGATTGGAGAAGTTTAGGGCGCGAAGCTGGAGCAATTGAAAAGTCCGAAAGGCAGAAACCGATTATTTAATAAAAGGTAAAAGGAAAGCTTCAGTCGAATTGTTGCTTGTTCATTGGGGTATCTTGTACCTTTTTTTTTTCTTTTTTTTTTTCTGTTCTTCCCTACCTCGCCTTTTAGGCTAAACGGGATTTTCCCGGACCAGAGGGTGAGGGCGGGGAATTTAAAATCCCCTCTGGCACCGGGACGCGAACTCGTGACAATTTTCATATCATAGAATCATATATCCGGTTGCCGGACAACGGCGGTGCAGTGCACACGCGTTAGCCCATTCGGCTACCCCGCCCACAGGGTATCTTGTACCAAGTAGATATGTACTTACTCTCCAACTAGGGAAGGTAAGAGGGTTCATCGTCACATCATCGTAAGTGGCGCTACGACCAGTCACCTCCCACTGGCTCTCCTCAGAAAGCATTCGTTAATTGGCTCGCTCTGTAGCAGCTCTCCAGCTTTGTGTGCCAAGAAGAACTCGTACATAAGTCGCGACGGAGTAGATAGGTCTCGACCTCACGTAAGATCGACCGACTCTCCGCCTGCCATAAAGCAGAGGACTGTATTAAGGTTTTCTTAAGATACCCGCCATCCTACATCCTCATCCATTTAGGTTTTTCCGGCCTGAAGAAACTTAACCATGTCTTTCTCGGTCTCGAATTGGAGCACAAATTCTTCCTAATAGTCAATTGTCAATAGTCGACAATATCAACTTCTAGAAGCATGGCCTTCTTAGCTCTTGTGAAATCCCAGGCCTCTGATCCAAACTGAGCGGACCAAAGTCTAATAGCAGTTTCGATCTTGGTACTGTTTGATCGTCTCCTGAATTGTTTAGCAAGACCAAAATACACCCTGCTAGCCACAGCGGTCATAGTGAGTATACGTTCAAATCTGGCAGCAAAGTAAAAGTTGTAAAAGCAAATACACCAACAACTGCATAGTGTGGCCCGAGTTTGGATACGTTATATTTCCCACCTTGCAAAATTGTAAAGGAGTTAATACAAGAGTGTCTCTTTCTCTGTCTCAACTACGTACTAAACTGTTCCAACCCAACAAGCACTCCTCACCATATGATTCAACGTTTTAGGTTATTCGTCTTAAGCTTCGGTCGGGACACTACAATATATGGTTACTCGATCGTAGATTCAAAGTTCAGGAAAAGATGTTGAATAAACATTTTATACCCCTTAATAATTTTCTATAAAATAAAGTATTGCGTAGAATATTCGGATCGAAGAAGGATGAGTTAACCGGAGAGTTTAGACGGTTACACAACGCCGAATTGGGTGAACTGTATCCGGGTAATATAATTAAGGTAATTTCATCGCGGCGAATCAAATGGGCTTGTAAAGTTGTTGGGCTTAGTAACGAGAGAGAATTCCTAAAAGGTTAATATTTGCTGTGCCGAATGGTAAGCGTCCGAGGGGTAGACCGAAGCGAAGGTGGGAAGATTGCATTAAAGCCGATCTGAAGGGACTGGGTTTGGACGGCGAACGGTGGAGGGAGGTGTGTAATAAGCGATTGGTGGTGTCGGCATCGAACCTTCGGGTACGCTAAGCCTTTTATTATTATTATATAATTTTCTAGAAGAAAATCCCACCCAAACTTCATCTAGTCCTCTACTATAACACAGCCATGTTATATATCGCCCTTTCAGCATGAAGGTTGAACCTCTCAATAATGTTTGATGACACTTTCAGACACTAGAGACAAGTTCTATAACTCGATAGTTGATATACTCTATCTGGTCACCCTCCTTAAGAAATGGACAGATAATTCCTTTATACAAATCTCTGATATCCTTTCTTCTTTCCACACTGTAAGGATAAGGTTGTGAAGCTAGTTCACCACAACATCTCCGCCTGTACATCCCTCGACTTTGTTATTCTTTAACGTCATAAAGGCCGCTTCGACTTCTTCCCCATCCAGTGACTGCGAGTCATTGGTAGATCTGCCATCGAATAAGCAGTGATCTCCTCGTCTACATCACTGTTTTATAAAGGGCCTTTTAGAATTACATCCTCCGCATCTCCAGGATATCTTCTGCTTTTTCGTCAGTAAGTTTTCAATTTGGTTTGGAATCAGCCGTTTATGAATCGAGAATACATGGGAAATATCTTAAAACAATAGTAAATCATAGGATTGTAATTTGATTATAAACAATAACTCATGGAGTAAACAAGGACCTCCGTAGATATTTTCAAAATTCGGACATCGTCAACTAAGTATATAACAACTGTCAAGAGAGAATAAATTATTTCTAGCCTTTAAATCGGCTATACTTCAATGATGGATTCTCGATTTATTATTTCTACCTTTAAATGGTGTGAGGAATCATACAGAACAAAAAAAAATTAACAGCCGCTATTAAATGTATATATTGAAATAATTTACTACTTACTGACTCCTTTGCATTTATTAATCATTGGATTTAAAACAGCCCCTAATTCCTCTGGCATCACGGATGAAAATGCTTCAGCATCTAATTCACCTTCGTCTGAAATCTAAAATAAAAAAGCACATTGAAGATCATTTTAAACGTTACCTACAGAAATAAATAAGACCACTAAACAGATCTATGGTTAATATGAACTTATGAAGAACATGTCGGGAAAAAAATATCTGACTACTTTATTAAATTTTTTATTTATTTTTGCTTCTATTATATAATTGTATTTTTCTTTTATAGAGATAGGAAGATCACATAATGATGTGTACAAAAACAATGACCATCTCTGTAAGAAGCTATACAGAAAAATATAATGATTTTAAAAATATTATAAATTTAGTTTAAAAAAAAAAAAGTAACATCCCAGACATGTAATTTCAAACAAACACAAATAGACTTACAGACACCTAGTCATGGACTATTTTACGAGTCTTGGTTTTGCGAACTCAGGAGATCTTAAAATGTTTATTTCCGTGGACAACTAAGATTTGAAATTTTTCACGATCGCAATAGTTTCAATTACTATGCCCTGTATGGGTAATTAAACGTAAAAATAGTTTATTGACTACTTACCGCACCCATGTTGCTGTAAATGCATTTCAAATAGCACTGAAAATAAAAATAAAAATATTGTTAGTATCCTTTTATAAGTATTTCTAAAACATACTGCAAATGTTGTTAAGTACTGGCAATAAACCAGAATGATATATAATTTTATACGAAACATGTCAAAATTTATTCTTAATTTTATGTAATTATATTAATTTATCGATCAATAAAATTATATATGTATTAATATTATTTATTTTATAGAGTAATAAAACGATAGTTTATCTCATAAACATGTTCTTTACTTTAAAGCTTTCCACCCCTAAACACCCCATATTTAATAAAAGGGAGAGGATGCCTCTGCCCCCTCCCCCTCCACTTCTCAGTGATTTATATATATATGAGTCATAAAAAAGTTTAATATATAAGAGAGGCAATAGTCATACTATCAGTATGTGTAATAAAAAGCAATTTATTGCAGATAATAAAGTGATGATCGCCCTTCTCTTTTAATGGGGTATGGCGTTTTATACCCCTCCACCATTTCATGTATTAAATACTAACATCATATTACTACACGAACCTTTGCTCCCCTCCCAATAGAAACATCAAAAATCAATCCCAATAATAAAAACATTGTCTATTAATTAATTAAGTATGCGAAAAAGCCAGGTGAAAAGTTTAAGTTGTCCTTTGCTTCCCTAATATAGTTTTCAATTTGAGGGTTACAACCATTGAATTTTTTCTCGTCGATATAGAAGGAACTAAAAATAAATGATTCTTATACAAAGATATAATGGTTATTAGGGGAAAAAAAGAAAATTTTCCATACAAAGAAATAGAACAAAATTTCTCAACAAATTCATATAGTTTTTATACTCAATGAGTTATCAAATTTTAAATTTTGCAACTTTTTGGATTCCAAATTATTGTGGAGAAGGATTTTAAACTGCAAATGTAAATATTACCAGGAAAGTGATGTAATTTTCTTACATTAAATTCAAACACATAAATTCCACGCGAGTTTTTATTTTTAACCATTGATAGAATTAACACTCATTAGTAACAATCTTTTACCATCTAGTGTGCAAAGTTTCAATGCAGGATCGATAAAAATAAATTGTTTTTGAGTGAAACATAAAGAGATGGCATTTTGGATATCGTTCAAATGTGCAAATCTTTGCCACTTGTAACGTTTTGAAACGATTGGAACGAATGGAAATCCGATGGTGCATAATCTAGCGAATATGGTGGATGAGGCAGTTCCTCCCACTCCAATTCTTTGATTTTTCCAGGGTTCGTCTAACGCAGTGCGATCTTGCATTTTAGTGTTGCAGAATAACGCTTTTTCTGCTAACAATGGTTGGCCACTTTTTAATTAAAGATTGATTTACACGATCCAATTGTTCACAATAAAAATCTGCTTTCACAGTTTGTCCAGGTTTCAGCATTTCAAAATGAGCAACACCCACTCACACAAAAGAGCCTTTTTGGGGTATAAACCTGGCTTAGCAGCACTTTGCGGAGATTCTTTTGGAGAGAGCCACTGCCTTTTGTATTATCATACAGGATCCATTTTTCATCTCGGGTGATAAGCGATAAAAAAAACGCTTCGGTATTGAGCCGTTGAAGATATGTTGCATGTTGTAGTGGTAGTTTTCTAATCTCCTGCAAATGTTTTCGAATGGTCAACCAAGGTTGTTTATGACTGACAATCACTCGATTGTCTGCCACGAATTTGCTTCAACTTCCGCTCTTAACACCTAATTATCTAACGTTGTTGGTCTTTCTGATCTATACGAGTCGGAAAGATCAAAATTACCGGATTTGAACTTGAAAAAATTGTTAAAAATATTTTATTTAATTATTTGCAACTAAAGAAGTCACTATAAAATGTCTTTGCTACGACATAAATGTACAAAATGAGCTGCCAAATGACAATCACATAAATGACATGCTTATAAATGACATTACTTTCCGGCCCGCCTAACACTACCGATGTGTGCCTGTAAATAGTTTGTATTTGGAAATTGTTTTTACGTTGTAGTCTTTGAAACTTCATGAATGACTTTATCTACGAACAATCTTATAAATGGAATGTTTTGTAATTAAATTAATTAGTTTCCACTTGAATCGTAAGATAATTTGATCACAAAATCGAAATAAAAGGTGACCTACAAAAATGGCCGTTGGCCTCTATAATCTGGTTAGTTTGACATGTTTGGGGTGGAGATTACGCCAAACTACCGACTTTATTAATTAGATGAATAAAACAAAATTGATTAAGACTATGGACAAAATTAAATTAGAAAAACGATATTTATTTTCAACAAACTAATGACAATTAGTAAAAATAAATTATTAAATCAAATTGTTGTTCAATATTAACGAACCTTTAACTTTTGGTCATCCGCCGGGAAGACTCCTTTTTTTGTTGCTTCGATTGCATCTGTAAAAATGAAACACAAAAATTATTTTTAAAAATAATTAGAACATTAATACAATTTTAAATTTTTTTTTATTAGTTATAAGAAAATAAAAATCATTTCCAACGATATTACCATTACTTGCTCCTGTTTCTCCTATACATTGATCGTGAACCATCTGTACCATCTCTTTGAGTTCGTCTGGTATCTCTACTCCCTGAAAGATGCATATATAAAAATTAATAAATTATATGTGTTATTGAATATACTCACAATGTGTGCGTGCGTCTGCTCATGTGTTTCTGATTTAATAAATATAATACATTGATATTTATATATATTTATGAGAAATTTATGAGATCGTACAAAAATATTACATGAGAATTTCTTGAACTTTGAAGTATTTTTTTTTTTAAAGGTATTTAATAATAGCGACTTAACTAAACATATTTGAAAGTTTAGCCACTTTACAGTCGGGCTTTTTCTCTTTAAATGAAGAAGTGCTCAGTGATGAATTCTCATTTCAAACTATCTCGTGATCTTCTATTAATTGTACAAAAGTTAGATAAAGAAATAAAGTAAAAACGTTAGGACTGATCCACTAAATATAAAGGATAAAGTGGTGAGTAGATGTGATTAAAAATATTCCGTCAGCTGATACCGTCGGCCTGCAGGCCACAAGCGGATCTACTGAGGGGGTAGGGCTTTCGAGCTGAAGCCCTCTCCCCCTCTCCCCTCCCCAAAATGGTAAAAAATAACCATGTTTTATAGAAAAAAACTATCTCTTAAATTATTATTGTTCGCGTGATTACATTTGATAGGACTTCAAGAATAACTAAGAAACCATGTCATATAGGTAGTTAGTTTTTTTTCTTTTTTTAATTAATTATCGTTTTATATATGAAAAAAAATCCTTCGGGCTGAAGCCCCCCCCAAAAATTAAATCCTGAATCCACTAGTGCTCCAGGCCGATACTTCCTTTCCGCTCATCGTCTCCAAAAGTTTAACGCAATCTTCACACCCCCGCATCGGTCTGGTCTACCCCTTTAACATTCAAAATAACATCGTAAATTCACATGTCCAAAATTTCTGCTAGTGGCATATACACTACAACAACTGACAAATTAACTTGTCCTATTTCAAATTAAACAGCTCAACTAGATTATACTTGACTCTGTTAATAATTTCAGGATTTCCTGACTGACTAAATTAGAAATCAATTATTAATAATTAAAACTATATAAAACTATACCGAAAGTAGTGACTCTAAAATGGGTAAAGGCACATTGTGGGATTGAGGCCAATGAATGAGCCCATTACCTTGCAAAAGAAGAGTCTAAAAGCGATATGCCGCCTTCGCATCCTCAAGCCCCTTTTATCCCATATTGAGATAAATTTAAAATTGGATATAACCAAAAGATGAGCCAAATGTGGGTGAACTCAACCAAGTCGCCAAGCTTACACAGATTTATACCACACGTTACACATCACAATTACAGACATATTCACAGTACTGAATACAAACTTAGGCAAGTACTAGCGGAACATGGGAATACAAAAAAATTTCTTAAAAGATTCAACATTATACAAACATTTTAAACATATAATATATGACTGTAAACGATTTGACATACAGCGATTCGAGTTAATAAAAATAGTTATCAAATTGGCCTGAGATGGAACAAAATGTATTTACTGAATTCAAGACAGGCTTTCCTAAATTTATTAGATCTATCGACTTCGACTTACTTACCAGTGATGGGAAGCGTAGGTAATTTCTTGTTGGCTTCGTTAAATTGATTTTTTTTTTGTATTTAATTTATTTAGTTCTGTTTTTAATTTGTTGTATTTTTTTTCTAGTTTTTATTTTTTATCATAATAATATGTAAAACAAAAAGGAAATCATGAAACAATTGTTAATTCCATGCAGTATGCCTTTAAAGCATGGAGCATGAAGGCGAATCAAATAAGCGATTCTTACTTGGATGGTCACATAAGGAAAACAATAAAAAAAAAATTTTTTTTTTAATCTATAAATCTTGTATAATTCATAAGATAAATAGGAATATATTCACGAAAATCAAAACGCCATTTAGCTTTTTACTCAGAAAGTGATTGTTAAGTAAATTTAAATGTGTATGTAATACATTCATCAATGACGTACATTTACTAAATAATCAATTTCTGAACAAAAATCAAAAGTGATGTACCCTACTATCATTCAATACTGTAATAAATAATTTGGATATATTTTAGTAGATTTTTATTTAATATATAGATTGCCCCAAATAAATTTTGTAATGTACTCAGTTAACTTACAGCTGTAATTGAGACTTAACAATAAAATAGATTTTGTTAAAAGTGAATATTTTGTCGGTCATTTTGGATTTTAGTGTCGTACATGAGAATTTAAAAAAAATTAAGAAGGCTCTTAAACTAACGTTAATTAGTACAACCCAAGGTATATTCATACCAAATTGGGCTTTTTTATGTACCGCGAAGTAACGGTAACCTTTAAATTTCACCATAAGCCACATGACTATAATAACATGGCATACATACAATATCATTGAGCTGTGTTTCTCAGAAAACCCCAATTTTCTTATTTCTTTTTTTCCCCTTGAGTGACAAATAATGAGGATTTCCAGTGTTAATATGGTTTATTAGACTTACCGACATTTCGACCCAGGTATGTGAGCCGTCATCCTGATGTGTCGGATCTGGCAATGGCAACTGGCTGGTCAAGAACTCTTGAGTTCCTCTGATGATGAGATGTTTTTGAATATTACAATATAGTTAATAACTCTTGAGTTTGACGAGCCAGTAACCATTGTCCTGAGGATGATTGCTAATCGTAATTATTTCTCACCCTCATAATATTAACAGTGAACTACTTATCGATCTCTAAGCTGTCGTAATATTGTAAGATAGAGGTAGGATAGTTACCGAGGCGAATGCGAGGGCCCCTAAGAGGCACAAGAGGTGTAGTGACTTCATGACGGCGATCCCATGAGCTTCTTAGCCCAGCGGCGGGAGACGGCTCCTATATAGCCTACTCTACGGCGACCTTGTCAACTCTATAACAGCTATCATGCTACTCCTACAACTGCTATTCCAGGTATAACATTCAGCCTTCTCAAACCTATCAATCTATGAAAATTCAGTCTAATAAATAATTTAATCTATTGAATCTGAACACTCTAAGCATCACGCTAAATTGAATATATATCTAACAGGTGTTAAATTATTAAATTTCATTTGATAAAAAAAATAATTTAATCTAAAAAACGTATGCTGATGACACATGTTTGCCGTTATTAATGACCCTTTAATTGCATCCCAAACCTTCAAGAATAATGTCATAACTGGAGAATAAAAATAAATTCCAATAAATCCCATAAAATCACTTTGACCCTTTGTACTAAATCTATGACTTCTTGTCCCACAGTATCCTTCAATAATATTCCACTCATCCCTGTTAAACAAATACACCATTTCGGACTCCACTTAGACAAACGTCTTACTTGGAATCCGCATAAAAGACTGAAACAAGAAACTGCTCGACGTTTCCGGCTGCTCCAACACTTACTAGACAAACTTTCAATTAATAAAAGACTCATCTACATGACTATAGAATAGAATAGAAAATAATTTTATTCTGGGGCGAAGTCTCTTTAGAATAACAAAAAAGTATTAAAGTATTATATCTGGCCTAAGTAAAAACAAACATAAAAAGTTTCCTATGCCATGGTCATTGGTCATTCGACCATCCGACATCTTGCTGCCCATTATAACTTTGATTTTTTTTGTATAATCATTTACATATGTTTTATTCCTAATATCCGACAAAGCAGGACATTTGTTTAGGTGATCTGCATCAATTTCCGCTTGTTTACATAATTTACACAAACATAAAAAGTAAACATAAAGAAAAAAGTAAAGAAAATATTAGTTAAACATATTATGTACAAAATTAAAAAACATCTATATACAAAACACTTGAAACTATGCCGAGACACTTCAAACTATGTACAGTGGTAAAATATAAGTATACACTTCTAAAAAAAAAAAATAAAAAATACATTAAACTCTTCTTAGCAATAAACTCTGTTTCTGCATAAAAAAAAAAAAAAAGGAAAAGAAGACGAATCTGACAGTAAGTATTTAAGTGATGAATTATATGTAAATATATCATTATGTGAATCATTTTGAATAATATGTAAATTTACATAGAAGGTTAGCGGGGAAGGGGGGGGAGGTGTCTAACTGTTTTTGGGATAGAAATAGGAATAGAAGGGTTTTAAATGTAGATTGGGAGGGAGAATGCCGAATTTTGGTAGGAAGGAAATTCCGGAAATTAAATAAGCAAGTAATAAACGAGTTTTGGAACGAGGCAGATTTGTGAGAAGAAAAGTAAAGGTCGGAAGGTCGAGATCTTGTGAAAAGGGAGTGGACTGAGGACTTGTTGGAAAAGGTTGTAGGCATAAGAAGGACGATGATTTTTGATGATTTGATAGAGGAACGTACCTAGGAAATATTGTCTTCGAATGGAGGGAAAGACCCACTTTAACTCAGTGTAGTGGTGAGACACATCTAATAAGACATATATGGACTATGGTGTTGAGTTTTGGGGTTCCATCGAACCATCAAATTCTTACAATGAAAAATTCTTAATGCTTCATACTTTGTCACTAATGAAATCACTCATAAAGTCCTTAATGTTCCATATGTCGCTGATTTGGCCCGAGCCAGATATCTCTCCTTTGATGATAAACTCCAGTCCTATCCGAATTCACTTGTTCTCAGCCTTGCTTCTTTCTCGATTCGTGATAAACCTCATAGACGTCTGAAAAGAAGATGAGCTCGTGATCTTCTTACTGAGAACTACTTAGGCAGTGTTACCATGAGGTAGTGCAGTACCTCGACAAGTCTGCTCATGGCATTATTTCTTATCTGTGCATATTTACTGGTTATTACAGTTAATACAGTTGTAAATTTCCATGAATATTTTTTTTTAAATATATAAAATATTATAAGGAAAAAACTATATATGTCCATGTTTTCAGTTAAGATGTCTATTGATATTAAACTTAGGGTAGCCTTCTAGATGTACACCTAAAGTATTTAAAGAATCTTCTGCAAGACATCAGTTAGGTATGTTGACGTAAGCTGTAACATCTAATGGAATGTAAACTGTAATATTCTCGAATCTAGCGGCGCGAATCCGCAATAGGCGAGTTAAAATTTATTTCACGGCAGGATCACGTAATAAATCTCGACCAAAACAAACAAACTTTCCGTAATTGGGCTTTTTGTTTTTTATATTTAAATCATTTTTTATTTTAACCTTTTTAGTTTTTCAAGTATTGGCAATTTGTATTCAATACTAATGATAATGAACTTACACATTATTTGATAAAAAAAAACCTACAAATGATCAAGTAATATTTAAAACATAGTTATTTTTGAACTCAAATTGTTTCAAAACACTCACAGGATCCTGCAGAGTAATTAGAGCCATGGAACTTAAAAATAGGATGAGCCATTCGCTCAAAAAATCGTTACATACCTTTATAGATTGAAAATACATTCTATACAGAAATGTTTACGTGTTTTATCATTTCATCAATTTCTGCAAATATCAATCCCACATTATAAGGTTCTATAGTAAAAAGTTACTTTTTTTAAAAATAAAAAACAAGTAATTCTCATACCATATTATACCCTTAATTAAACACTCCCTAATTAATTAATTGATTCAGAGTAGCCACATTATGGAGACTGGTTGTGCCCCAGGAGGGTCTCTCCGACCTCAGGGTCGATCCAATGTTGATGAAACAGAATAAATAATTACCTGCCATCAGCAGGAGTTAAAACCGAGAAGAAGATTTAGAAGTCGGTGTGCTACCTCAATCACATAAATAAACATAGGTATTCAAAAATAAAAAAGATGAGTGAATCCAATTTATATTGAATTTAAGTAGTTTTTATTTCAGGTAGTAAATTGCTTTACTTTTAAAGTTAATTTTAGGTTATCTACTTGCGTTACTTATTAATTAAATTTTTTTAAGTTAAATTATTTCTTCCAATATAGTTGATCTTATATACCGTTTGGAAGTAGATTTTAAAGTTCTTTCAATGCATCTTTTCGATACAAAAGAAAGATAAGCATTCTTTTCTGCATCAATTCACACAACCAGGGCTAAAAACAGAAAAACTACTTTTATTTTTTACTGTCGATAGTTTTTCAGTTCTTTTAGAACTAAAACTGTTTCCCTTACTTACAACTTTTCGATTAAACGTTTTACAGAACTTTTATTTATAGAAAGCTTTTATTTAAAAGCTCTGTCGGTTACACTAAAAAGTCGATCTAAAAATGAATTTTATATAAGCTACACAAACAAAGGACACATTAGAATCATATGTAATTCATGTAAGACAAATCAGAATTCTAATCTAAGCTCAATTACTGTTTATTTTCCATTTAACGGAGCGTTTTTTAAGAACTTGAATAAATATGAATTAAACTTTAACCTATAAGTCTGGAACTTTAATGAAATAAAGGTCCCTAAAACTTTTATTTTTATAACTTTTTCTTAAAAAGTTTTCACAGAAACTGTTCAAATGAAACATTTTTCCAAAAAGTTTCACATAAACTGTTAAAATGTAACATAAAAACTTCTGCTCATAACTAAAGAAAAATTGAATACAGTTTTAGTTTCGTTTGTTTTGTATATAGAATGTTTACCTTATATTTTCTTTATATTATTTCTTTTTTTTCGATTGATATTTTGGTCAGATGTAATCTTTTAATTTTGTTCTATTTTCTTGTTCTCAAGGGACTGTGTCCCAGATTAAAGTTATTTTTTATCTATCTATCTATCTATCTGATAAATAGGTAATAAATATAATTCAATCTCTCTGTATTACGCCAGCTACCATGAATATTGCCAAAAGGTAATGTGTTTTACTACCGCGACTTAACACCTACCTGTGCATTATCACCGCTCCTTTAGCTATCGCGATAAGTTCATTAGCATCATGACTTTATTTTTTATTTGAAAGGATTTGGTTCTTGTAATTTCATTAATTGATCTGTCTTTTTATGCATACTCACAAATTCAATTGAATCAAAAAATATAATGCCACTCAAATTGACTCAGCATTCCCACTCCAGGAAATGGGTGTCTACCCTGTCCATACATCAATAAACCTCTCCATGTGGTGCAAAATAATTTCAAAGAAGTAAAATATTACATTTTTAGTCAATATTGCTAAGTTCATAATACTGATACCCAAATTATTCATGGATCAGCAAGTTGTGGACCATTTAGTTGCACTAATTCTGAGTCTTGTTCGTCGCAATGAAATCAACTTCGCCGAAAATCTAAAAGAGAGGAACACTTATCAACCATGTATTTTTTTTTCTTTCCTGGTAACGCATTCTTTACGTTTTGGTAATGTAGTTATAAGGAGTCATTGAAGAATATACCCAGTAAATATTTCCGATAGAAAGATTTAATAGGTCTTCAAAAATCATTAAAACACCATTGCAAATAGGTAGTTAGTTTCTTTCTTTTTCCAATGTGATTATCGCTATATATAAAAAATTTTAAAAAATCGGGCAAAAGCTCCCTCCCCAAAATTAAATCCTGGATCCACTAGTGTCCTTATCTAATGCAGGCTCATGTCATTTTCGCCTTTCATCTCTGTTTTGAGCACCCAATTTCCAATTTGTGATTATTATTCTTTTGCGCTACTACCCACATGGGGTAAAGGCCCACTGCTATATCAGTGACCAGTCATCTTTCTTCAGAGCAGCCGATTTACAATTTCGAATATAAAATATGGATCTCGCCTCAGCCAACACATCATCAGCCCAACGCAGTTTCTTCTTCCGGATATCTGTTCAGTGAGGAGCTTCTTTGGAATATGGCCATCTGGCAGAGTCGACCAATTTTAATAACTCTGACTACGTTACTCTCCTAGAAAAGCTCCTGTAGTTCTGCAT